TTCACGATCAGCAGGAGTTGGGGTATCAGCAATCGCAAGTATGTGAGCTTCTGTCAAGTGAATGCCCCACCTTGGTCGTTGATCTTCCCGTTGCTTGATGTGATTGTAATCATCGATTGCACCATATAGCTTCTGGAGTAGAGGTCGTGGCAATTGTCGGCCATTCTGAAGGATCAGGTGTAAAAGTGAAATTCTTCGAAGTGGTGGACGAAGAGCACACACAATGTCAACTGGGTTCAGTGTGATTGTGTCTTGAAAGTCGACGTTCCTGAAGAAATAAACAGCATTTACCCTATATGCTCCTGCAATGATTCTTCTGACCAAGACGTCTTGTCGGTCAAGGGCGTCGCGGGCCGCTGTGGTCTTTCTCATCTCATCCATTGTTGTGTCACGCTTCGACAGCTTCTCCATCTCCTCATCAAAGAAGATGTTTTGCAAATCATCATACGTGTAGCCACATTCAAGTGTATATACGAGAAGTCGCTTGAGTACCACTGCCCCATAATAAGCATTGACGAATCCCTCTTCTCCGATGTCGTCCTTTTGATTTGGTCGGCCGATCTCTTTGTAGAGCTCTTTCATCTGCTGTGCAGTTGGTTCAATGAGTTCACCATTTTCATCCTCGCCCAAGTAAGGTGTCCTTGAGTCCAGGTCCATCCTAAATTTCTGGTTCTGTTGAAAATGTTTCCATGCCGTCCCGATGTCTCCACAGAAGTTCCGTTGGAATAGTCTGTAGATTCTGACGATATGTAATCCCATCTGCAACAGGAGGATCTTGATGAATTCTGGTTGAGCATCTCCAATTGTGCAAGGTTCGATTGGTAGGACCTTTGATCCAAACTCAATTCTCTGCATCCACTTGGGGTACTCAATCTCTGCATCACGAGCTTCTCCAGCCTCGTACTCTTCAATGTTGATCTCATCGACCGCTGTTTCTTCATCATCATTCTCGTCGGTCGGTTTTCCTTCTTGATTGAGAAATTCGTCGACCTCATCTTGTTCTCTGAAGTCTCTTTTCTCATCATTGATGTCGCCCTTCTTCGAGGCTTGATCATCATTTTCTTCTTCTGGTTGAGGTTCTTGTTCTGGACTCTTCATGGTGACGTCATCATCACCTGGCATCGCCTCATCATCATCATCATCATCACCTGTCAAATCGATCTTCACCTCTTCCCATGCTTTCTTGACATGGTCTTTGAGATCTTCTTCTCGATGATGTGATTCGGCCTTTGGTACGGTCGCTACGGTGATTTTGATTCGTTTCCTCCACCCATGACTCACCAAAAATCCTTTGCACATCACACAAATTGACAAAGGCGCAGGGGTTTCCATCAGACATGCGGGGCATAGTCGATGGTCCTCTTTGCTGGGATGATGGGTGACTGCCAATAATGAAATTGCATCATTCCAATCCGGATGTCCAGGGAACAATCTGTGAGTATGACTGAAGTGACCGGTCCTGATATCGACAAGTTTTCGAAGTTCGTCAAGATCGGGTGACGATTCTTCAGGCACAATGTTTCCAATGAGCTTGTCAAATCGTTCAATGGTGGCCACTCTCTTTGCTCCTTGCACAGAAAGAACAAGTTGATCTCTTCCCTTTGTGATCATGAGACGGTAATAGTCCTTTTCTTTCCAATCGTAATACCAAACCGCATCGAATGATTCGAATGGAATTGTTTCTTGGACCAAAATGTGTCCGTCTGCTGACAATCTGGGGGAGAACTTGGCGATGGAATCGTACGTGATGTAGATGTAGACAAGATCAGTTTGTTCAATCTTCCTGAATCTCAGCACCGTCTGACTTCGAACATCCCACGGCGCAAATGGCACGAAGAACGTATTGATGCGGTCGCCTCCTCCTCCGGGACGTAGTCCTTCTCTGAAGATTTGAGCGATGTTGTCAAATGTGGTGCAATGAAATCCTCCTCCAAGAGTGTATCCTACTCCAGGGTTCATCTGGTAGGAAGTCTTCTTGTCTTCGATGTGCACACCGCCTTGAACTCTTGAATGTGCCATAGGGGCTCGGATTGCCACTGGCCAAAGCCAAATCTCTCGATCTGCTGTGCCGATCTCCAACCTCAGTGTTTGTCGATCAAGTCTCGAGGTCAATCCATCATTGAAGTTGTTCATGAGATGTTCCAACTCAGCTTTTGTGACTTTGAGTCCTAGCACTTGAGCTCGGATTCTCTTCGTTTGCTTGTACTCAGTGAAAATCACTCTCTGGAAATTGTTCCACCTCTCAACAAGTATCGGGTAGTTGACATGTGTCGTTCCAGCCAATGTATGTTGGTCTCTCCAAATAGCATCGTACTTCAAGATCGACTCAACATTGACCCATCCTGCCTCATCGCATGGAAGTCCACGGTGATTTCGGCTGTCTCTGACGCAACCCACGGAGTGGCGTAGCGCAGCATTGAACCTTTTCGACAGTTCAACTATCCATGGCGGATTTTCCCACTTGTTGCCCATCCACTCATTCTCGCTGTATCGATGCACC